GTCCTCCGCCGCCAAACCAAACCGGCGGGATTCGGGGCGTTTTCCTCCTCGGCGGCGAAGGCTGCCCGAGCGGGAGCGCAGCCGTGCCTTTGTGTCTAACTTTGGGCGGCGAGACTTTTTCTCTCGGCTGGAGATTTTTTCGGGACCCGAGATTCATATGCGCATATTATATATTTCGATGAAGAAAAAACATGTGGGTAACAAGGCTAATACCTGAGTGCTCAGCTTCATTATTATCCGGCTACGGGCTGCTTTGAGTCGCTGTTTATTTGTCCTTTTCTTAAGACGGTGATGCAGGAAGGTACCGCAAGTGAAATGACAGTTTTATAAGTTCATGATGTGGTTTCTCATACAATAGATTGCAGTATGTATGCAGAGGAGAAAAAAAAGCCCTGTTGCAGTAATAGTGGTATGAAGCACAAAGAAAATTATTGCTGGATCCTATTTGAGTTTGTTAAACTCAATTGATACCTGATTTTGTAAAATATATTTTTGTTCTGGGCTGGTGAAACCAGAGATTTCAGAAAGCTGCCATTGTTAGAGGGGAGGAAAAGACCCTGGAATGGGGAACTGATAGCACGCCTTGTCATGTAGGTGTGGTTCATTTTTTTCCAGCTAGGACTTCGTTTGTCTCTATTGTTGCTTTCTCAAGCATTTGTTGGCTATTTCTCTTGGTTCTTTTCCACAACTGTTTGTGGTAAAGGGCTGCCTCATCACAGCTAACCAGCTTCACTGTGACCTGTTCATCTTTATTGCTACCATTGTCTCCTAGGGAGAACTACTGAGGCAGATGCTTTGTCATTCGGAGCCTCTTCAGCATTGCACTTTCCTAATTCTATCTAATTTTCGGCTCTGTCAGAAGTGAATTGGTTGCATTTTAATTACATTATTAAAAATTATAGAGCAAATGGATAAAACTTCTGCCCTCAAGACAGCTGATGTCATCCTTCCTCTGCAGAAATGCTCTTCAGTCTCTTCTTGAAGCTTCTATTGTACAGTTGCTGCTGCATAGCTCTGTTGCTGCTACCTCCTGCCATTAAGCATAACACCACGTACAGTTTTAGATATTCAGAGGGAATGCTTTGGCCTTTCTATTCATCAATTTGGATTAGAAGTCACCTTGCTGTTCCTGGTGTCAGACGATCTGATTGAGATTTTGCCTGCTAGGAAAAAACCTTGATCAAATTTTGAGGTGTATTGTTCTGGATGGGTACACTGGCAGTTTGAAGCTCTGACTGCGTGAGGCAAATATGGGCTCGACAAACCTTTTTCTCTTTGGAAAGTGTGCTGTAGTCTGGAAAAACCCACTTCTTTCAACCTTTATTCAGACCCTTAAATGCATTTTGGGTTCTTGATAACTCCGCCTCACTGTCTTCTCTGGTACATCTCCTGAGTACCATCACTGAAAACTGTGGATTCATGCGCCAAACTGCAGAGCAACGTGTTAAAGAAAACATCTGCTGATAACACATCAGTGGTGTGATGCTACGCAACCTGGTGGAATGCAGAGTCATTTCTTAATATATCATGAAGAGGGAATGGCGTGGTGAGATGTGTTTCCAGTAATTACATTTGGGTTGTGACTTTGCTAAGGGGGCAAATCCTCCAACCCACTGTCCACCAAAAAAGGGGGGAGTGAAGAGAAAGCTTCAAGATTTTTCCACTTATTTGGTAGATGCTACTGGGTGTGTCCTGCCTGCCGTCTGATTAGTCCTGTGTCTAGTGGCATTGCACTCCCAAGACCAACCTTTATTCAGACCCTTAAATGCATTTTGGGTTCTTGATAACTCCGCCTCACTGTCTTCTCTGGTACATCTCCTGAGTACCATCACTGAAAACTGTGGATTCATGCGCCAAACTGCAGAGCAACGTGTTAAAGAAAACATCTGCTGATAACACATCAGTGGTGTGATGCTACGCAACCTGGTGGAATGCAGAGTCATTTCTTAATATATCATGAAGAGGGAATGGCGTGGTGAGATGTGTTTCCAGTAATTACATTTGGGTTGTGACTTTGCTAAGGGGGCAAATCCTCCAACCCACTGTCCACCAAAAAAGGGGGGAGTGAAGAGAAAGCTTCAAGATTTTTCCACTTATTTGGTAGATGCTACTGGGTGTGTCCTGCCTGCCGTCTGATTAGTCCTGTGTCTAGTGGCATTGCACTCCCAAGACTGCAGAAAGAAAGAAATAGCTCCAGTTCAGCCATGCTTCCAGCAGTTACATCCGTGCTGTTAAAGATCTACATCATTGGATTGACCTTGGATTTTAATTCCAGATTTACCTCTGTTCTACACAAACCTGATTTGGTTATATAATGTATATAACGCATTATGCTACTTTATAATGTACATGCATAATTTTTGCATCCAGACTGCTGAATCATGCAGCTGCAGGTTTGGGATATTATCTCCAAATCCTAGCTTCAGCTTCTAGGACTATTGTGTGCATGGGATGTCCGGCCCCTCCTTTTTTTTTTTTTTGGCTATTTATTTATTTTGAGTCCTATATTTTGGACATTGCCTGGCTCAGCAGTCTTGACTGCGTCTAATCAGAATCTTATCCCTACAGGAAATTTGGATTCACGACAAAAGCAGCTAAGGATGGTGGACAGGCCCTATCATTAGCACTGCTGAATCATAGTCTGTGCTGCTTAGCTGATCTCCAGAAAGCTTTGTAGTCTCCCCACACAAGCTTGCTATCAGAGGCCAGCGAGCTGTTTATCTTCCAGCTTCTTGAACTTCAGTGCTCATTCTTTCAAAGTACTTCAGCTTTGTGATCGATGTTGGTTTACTAGTCATAGTTTTCATATGTGCTGTATGTGCGTGGTATTATATCATCTTTATTTTTTTTCTCTTAAATATTCCAACACCTGGAAAACATTAAAGCCTGCTGAGCTGTATTTGTCTGCCAAAACTACGCCCCAAAAATGCACCATATGGCCAAGAGATTTTTGAGAAATGAAAATAAGGAGACTTGCTGAAGAGACTCACTGCTCATGCCTCTGAACAACGATGCATTAGTCAGGAAGTGGAGGTGGCTGGTTATAGCTCAGTTATTTTTCTCTTGAGTGGTTATGAAACACACAGGCAATACCATATTTCCAAATTTATTTAGAGTTTCAAATGGCAGCTACTTAATAGCTGGTAGCATATCCCAGTAGTAAGCATGTTCCTACCTGGACTATGATGCTGATGAGGAAAAGCCCTGGATGAATTCTCCCTGAAGAGGCTTCAGGCTCTTGAAATGCAGATGTTCATATTTGCATGGAGAACCTACTCAGAGCTGCAATGGGAAACCGGCTCTGCAGATCTAGTTTCTCTGCTCTTCCCCCCTTTCTCCTCCTCATCCTTCAGCCCTACAACATGGCTTCTGCCAGCGCGAGTCCTGAAGTTTCTGCTGCCTTGGAAGAGAATATACCATGGGAGGTAGTGTTGACAGTCATGTTCACAGCCTGAAGCGCTGACAGAGTTACCAGCAGGAGTGTTGGTGCTAGTCTCACAGTGAGGGGTTGGCCAGGCACCTCCTCCCCAAACCCCGAAGTGATTTAACTCGACAATTTCATGCAAAGGCATGGTCAGGCATGTGGGGAGGGGCCACCAGACACTTCCTCACCTGCAGTCCCTTCTGCATTTGCCAGCTAATTTGTGTAAGACTAATGATGTTCCTTTGCGGGGGGAATCACTGTAATGTTGGTGTTCAAAATCGCAGCAGTGCCTGGACTTACCTGTAGTGCAACTGCTTGCTCATTATTTTTCAAAAGCAGAAGATTTTTCAGAAGAATTTCAAAACAAGAAAATGATAGAAAAATGTTAAGCATGTTCTCTAGATTTTTTTTTTCCCCTGATCAAATTTCAATCCTTAAAAATATATTTTTGGAATAAAATTTTTTTTGAAGTGTCAAGTGTCTTACTTTCTAAGTAGCTGGGGGAAAAACTGTAGGGAATAGACGTGCTGTTTAGTTTTTTGAAAGAAAAAAGATCAAGTGTAGCATCTTTAAATTTCAAAACTAGAGTTTTGATACTTCATAAATAAAAGATCACTTAAATTTTAATTTTGAATATCAGATGCTTCAAAGCTTTTGAATGAAGAAGTCAGTAATTTAATACTTTGTATTTAAATATTAACTTGCAACATGCTAGGTAAGGTTGCCCTTCTTATCTCGGAGGGACTAGTACAATGGTCCTGCAATGTGACTAAAGTGTCCTCCAAGTGATTCACTCTTAGTTTTGTAAATCAGTGTACTGCTATTTTGAAGTCAATTCAGGGACAGAGGCAGATTTCCTCTTCCTTGTGACAGATTCCTGTCCACAGTGCTCATTCTGAGCACTCAGCACTGTCCAAAAAATAGGTGTGTGCCTTTAAAGGAAGAGAGGCTGGGTTTGGAATTTAGAAATATGCAAGTAGCATGAATGCAAAAGGAGAAATAGCCAGTTAAAACTTCTACTGCTCATGTATTAAGCTGGATGTGTTCTGTGTCTTGAATTTTAGGAATCCGATCATGGGACACAAACTTGATTGAATGCAACCTGGACCAAGAACTCAAACTTTTTGTATCTCGCCATTCAGCTCGATTTTCCCCTGAAGTTCGAGGTGAGTTTTTGGGAGTGTTTTACAAGGGTTTTTTTGTTTGTTAGTTTTTTTTTTAAGAGCCCACTGTTATTTGTGATTCTTTACAACGAATACATTTTTTTCCTTTATTTAAAAATATGGCTTGAAAATTATAATTTTTTTAACTTTCTCACAACTTTAAAATAGTCAGCTGTTTAGGTTAGCTTCAAGTATATTGCCATGATTACTTTGGCAGTAGGTGTTAGTTTTAGGGCCACATTTAAGTAAAACTCACTTTTTGACTGAACAGTTTGTTTATGTAGCAACAATCTTGTAGTCCCAGAGACTGAAGCTTATTGTGGTAGGTAGAGCACATACAAAAAAATAGCCTGGAAGGTTAGCTCTACAGTTTGATAGAGCCAGAAATGGTGTAACAGCTGTTGCACAAGCACAGCTCAAGCCCTATGTTTCTTCCCAAAGGGCTTGGACTTTTCTCTTTCTTGGTATGAAAAACTGAGGGGTGGAGAACTTACCTTGACTCACAGGAACTTTCTTTGGCTTGTGTGAGGAAATCAGAAAGTTACAGGGCTCACAAGACTAAATCTCTTTTGCTGCCTTTTCTTCAACCTGTCCTTTCTTTAGAGGATTTGTACAATAAAGAAAAATGAAACAAAAGAAATCCAGATCTGTGAAGTGTAAAATTTTTGTTCTTGTTGCATGGGAATCAAGTGTTTGGTAAGTTTTCTAACAACTCATTACTTTAACACAAATCCTGAGTGAGCATGGGTGAAATTAATCACAGGTTTTAGGTAAAAATATGTAAACTTCTGAAAGGAGTAGAGGTTGCTTTCATTAGTGAAATCATTGTGGCCATGTGCACATTGACTAGTACAACCTAGTACTGATGACTTATAAATTCCAGCTTCCGGAACATCTCTTAAGTGAGGTGAAAAAGGTCTATGCAATCTTGTATCATGCTACTATATCACATTCCTCGGGTCAGTTGGTATACACTGTTGGCAAAGAGATCCTGATATCTTGCTAGCATGACAGCATTGACCTGACCGTTTCAAATAATGTACCAATGTGTCTTGTGTAACTAATTCTTCCTCTTGCAGCATAGGTTATAGTAGATTTTGCTGTATCTCCCCATATCTATAGAGAGTAAAACATTGCCTGAGTTAAGGAAAAAAAAAAAAAACCAACAAAATAACCCAAACCTCTATGATTCTTCCCATGGTTTGAAAACCAACAGATCCAATATAAATATACTGTCCTGGTTTGAGGTCAAACAGGACCAATTTTGTTCAGTAACTTTGCTTTTTAGCTGGGCCTCTTCTAACTACTGAAATTAACAGCATATTGTGCAGACAGTGTTCACTCTCTCAGGGTGATAAGACCAATGTTTATAGCTGATGCCCAGGCATGGTATGCAGAGAGGCTCCTGCTTATACTTATTGCAATAACACCGAAGGTCAGCTAACGTTATTTGCCCCACTGGAGGGTCGGAAGTGGAAAAGTGTAGAGGGGTCCCACCTGTGGGGAGGAGGGGACAGGACAGGTGACCCAAAACTGACCAACAGGGTATTCCATCCCATCTGCCTCATGCTCAGTGTAAAAGCTGAGGGATCAAAGGGTCAGCCTCTTTCTTCAATGGCCAATGTCTGAGGAGGACTCTGTTCATCTGCCTCTGATCCCGATCCTGAATGCAGATCCGGAATCCAGTTCCTGTCCATCACTGAGTCCAGTCTAGGACTGTCCCAGTGCCAGCTGGTGTCGTGACTGTCATCCTGGGAGCCTGATATGGTTTTGTATATATTTCATTATTTCCTTTTATTTGAATATTAATATTTCATTAAAGTAGTTTAGTTCCTTCTCAACTCATAAGTCTCTTTTTCCCTCCTCTGCCTCTGTTTTTGAAGAGGGGTAGAGGGGAGCATCTGTCAGTTCCATCTGGGGTCCCCCATGTCCCCAGTGGGCGATTTGGCCTAAACCACAACAAATACTCAGTGTGAAGATTTGGGGTCAAGACATGTAGTTCCTGATTTATATGGAAGTAAACTCAGGCCTAGAATATATGGCTTTCATTTTAGTTGAAATTTCATAAATTCAAGTCAACTTTCCAGTGACACTAGTTGCTTTGCATTACACAGAGGGCATTCTGATAAGTGAAATTAGCAGAATTTATCTTTAAGGAATTCAAGACACAATGCATTCCATTTTTAACATGTATGTGTTTTACTTTAAAACTTTAGGAAGAAAAAAGATCCTGTGCTTTTCCTTTAGCAAAAATATTCCAGAGTGTCTAATATTTTTTGCTGTCTTATTTAGATGATATATCCTGATACCGTTGCACAAATTAAAATAAAGCAAATTCTCCGTTTCCATATGATAAATAAAATAAGATTGTGCACCCCTTTATTCAACAGAAAGATTAGAATCCTCTAGGAATTTTTCTCTAGGAATTGTGGTTTTGCTTTATTTTTTTTTTCTTGTTTGTCTAGACTTGCCTGTTCAGTCTGTCATTGTGTTGAATTACAGCTTAATTGCATGTGACTGGAATTCATCAACATCTCTATGACAAGCAGTAATGAATGTGTTTTTCACCACTGCTCAATTTTTTAAACAATAAACTGCCAATATCTATGTTGGAAGAGCACTAAGGAAGCCTGAAACTTGGATAAAGGGAACATCCAGGAATAAAGCTAGCCCTCTTGACCAATTTCTTGTCTAAATTTTTGTGGGTAAGCCCATTGACACTTCCAGAATCCCACTGCACAGATCAGAGGATAATTTTAGTTTCTCTCTGTGGTTCTCTGATGCTGAATCTGCACGAGGCACCTTTTCAGAATGTTTGATTTCTGCTAGAATGCCCAAATGTTGAATTTTGAGTGTTTAACCAGTGAAATGGTCCACGTTTATACTGAAGAGATGGTTGTAAGTACATATTCCCTTATGGTCCCAAACTCAGAAATTCTGCAGAATTTGGGTAACTAGGTGATCTTTTGTCCAAGGAAAGTATTCATCCAAAGTGACGGGGTAGTCTGTGGGATGTAATTAAACAGCCTTTTTTTTTTTTTTAGAGTCCTTTGAGACTGAACTTTTTGTGCGACTCACACATAGGGACAGTTTACTCTTGAGGAAGGGTAGAGTCATCTAATGTGTCTGCACATCTCCTAGTGTAGTCAGGTATAATATAAGCCTGAATGAAGCCTGTTTGATCATAATGTTTAATTATGCTAATTGCAGTGCTGGCTCAGTACATGCTTGTAAGCTTCTCAGAGCAGCTCGAGGATACGCACAGCAGCAATATGAAGGGTAGGACTCTTTCTCCAAAAGGAAGCTTGGAGGAAATGGGGCCAATCCTGTGATGTCGAAGGAGAGACAGGAGACAATGTGTCTGTCAAAGCATTCATGTCTTTTCACTTGAGGAATTTGAGGTCTAATCCTTCTCCCTGTGTAGTGAATAGCAATGTACATATTGATACTGCAAGGAGCACAACCGGATCCCAACACTCTTTTTGTGTTCTTTTCAGGGCAATGCATTGTCATGGTGGTATTTGTGCATCCTATATTCAGCTGCTGGGCAATTTATGGATGATTTATGGTTCCTGAAAAATAGGATTCTGAATGGAAATGCCGGCAGATCTTTTCTGATACCTTCTAAAGCAGCTGAGTTAGCAGACTCCTTAATAATACCAACTCTTGCAGAGATGTTGTCAGGTGTTGGTGAAAAATGAGTAACAGAGCTTATTAACTGGTTGCCAAGACAACAGGCAACATGACTTAAAATGGGTACTCCAGTGCTTGCCTCTGTTTTCTCTGTCACGTACTGATAACTTCCATCTTATGTTAACATCACAAGGACAAAAAATTCAACAATGAATTGTAACATGTATGTGTTGAAAAAGGAACTGTGTATCTCTGGTAGTGAGGCAGAGCAAGCAGAGAGTCTTGTAAAGAACTCTGTTGAAATTGCAGTGGTACCTACCAATCTTTTATTAATTAAAAAAAAAAAAATCAGCTGCATAAAACAGCTTCACAAGAGACCAAATAAATGGGTTTTGGGGTGGGGGTGTGGGAGGGTGAAGCCATTGGGGGCCCTTCAGCAAGACTTCCACACTTGCTGTTTTGTCCCTCAGCTTCCACCTGGGGACACTTGACTACTGCATTGGTGTGTATTCAAGCCCTTGTCTAGATGAAATCAGTTTTATTTAAATAGCTGTTCAGAAGCTAGTCACTGCTAACCTTCTAAGAAATACCGCTCAAGCAATGCAATGTGGCTACTTTGTACTTTTTCCTGTTGTTATGAATAACGTGCATCTGTGGAAGATGCATTTCTTATCTGAGCAGTACTGGCAGGTCTCCTGTTCTCCATAAGTCAGCAGTTGGTGACTGGTGGCTTAAGTGAGTCCTTCCTTACCTGTGCCCAAGACTTCATTTTCTCTAGCCTGCCTGAAGCTGTCATGACCCCCAAAAGGCTTAACAGCTTTCATTCTGAAAGTTACTGTTTCAAAAGTTACTGTTTAGGACTGTTAGTATCTTGTGGAGAATCCTTGGATCTGGGAATTTTGGTCATCAATGCTCCAAGCTGCATACTTTGCCAAAGTGGTGTACAGTCCCATTACCTTTGTCAAAGCAGGTCTAAACCCAGTTAATATCACACCTAGTAGCTTGCAATGTTAACTCGTGGAGTCACTGGCAAAATCCTAAAGGGTGTGGTTTTAGTGTTGTCTTAATGAAAATTGCAGTTCATCGAAATTTGTGAAGGAAGAGGACATAGGTACTTGAGCAAACCCTGTCACTTGAATTCTTGGTTCCTTTTCTTTCATTGTAAGACCAGATTTCTCAGCTGGTGTCAGAGCACCATCACTAAGTGGCTAGGAATTGATTTCACTTAAAATCTCAAGTAGTCCGGTATGCACATTTAGGGACATCCTGAAAATATGATTCTGCAGCTATTAAAGACTGTGCTAGCTGGAATAGCTATCAAGTGGAGTCATTTTAGCTCATTTTATCTTTGGGGAGGTTAATTTTGTTTG